TCTACCACTTGAGCTACAGCGCCACTTCCGGTTTTCTGGTGGTTTATTGGAGATAGGAGTTTCACGGTCTTTCCTGCCCGGGCTGTCTTTGAACCACAATCCTCAGATCTCAGCCTCCTGAGTAGCTAGGATTACAGGCGTGAGCCACCAGCGCCCGGCTTCATCCCTTCTTTTAGTCAACCTCTCTCTGGCTTTTGAGCTGGCCCCTCTTACACCCCCATGGGGAGCAGCAACGCCATCTAGGGGCATCGGAAGCCATCGCAGTCAGCACTTCCCAGGCGTTACCTTAGCCTAAAAGATGCTGGACAGTGACTGAGATCAGTGCAATTTTTACACATCTCACCAACGTTTTAGGAACAAGTACCTGAACATAAAGCCTGATATTTTGTATCTAGATTTTCCCCACAACTCATTCTCTTTTTTCCCTACCACAAGCCCAAAGACATGGCCTGCTCTCTGTTGTAGCTTCAGTAGTTACCATTTCTATTTCTCTTTGGGGAGTTTTTTGTGGTTGTTGTTTTGCTTTTGGCCAATCCTGGGGATTGAACTCAGGGCCTAGCTTCTGTCCCTGAGCTTCTTTTGTTCAAGGCTAGCGCTCTACCACTTCAGCCACAGCGCTACTTCTGGCTTTAGGCTTTTTCATTGGAGATAAAGGTCTCATGGACTTTTTCTGTCCTGCTGGCTAAGTAATTAATTGGAAATAAGAGTCCTGTGGACAACTGGATGCCGCCAGTGGCTCATGCCTATAATCCTAGCTACTCAGGAGGCTGAGATCTGAGGATCACAGTTCAAAGCCAACCCGGGCAGCAGTCCCGTGAGACTCTTATCTCCAATAAAAACCACTAGAAAACCGGAAGTGGCGCTGTGGCTCAAGCGATAGAGCACTCACGTTGAGCTGAAGAGTGCAGGGACAGCTCCCAAGCCCAGAGTTCAGGCCCCATGACTGACCAAAAAAAAAAGGTCCCGTGGACTGGCTCTGAACTGTGATCCTTGGATCTCGGCCTCTTGAGTAGCTAGGATTATAAGTGAAAGCCTCCAGTGCCTGGCTTTCCCCCCCCCCCACCTTTGGAGGAAGACAGGAACTCAAACTTGGTATCTGATGGTTTCACTCATTGGTTGGCACTCTTAACCACCTGAGCCACGCCTCCAACCCCACTGTTTGTGTTCTTCAGATACTTCTTCCCTGAGCCTGACGCAGAATGCTCCCCTTTCCAAGTGCCCTTGAGAAGCATAGGAGCTCTGTAATTGTCAGAAACTTGAGGAAAACAACTGTGAGCAGGAACAGAAAAGGCTTGCTAGTCAGGGGGCCAGGGACATATTTCTTGGTCTTCCTCTGCCTCCTTTTTCCATCTGCAAAATGAGAGAAACTGTCAGGGTTATTACTATTCTGGAGAACCTAGACATCAGTGGAACACGCCTGTAATCCCAGCTACTTAAGAGGTTGAGATCGGAGGATCAAAGTTTAAGGCCAGCCCAGGCAGGAAAGTCCATGAGACTCTTTATTTCCAATTCGCCACCAAAAAGCCAGAAGTAGAGCTGTGGCTCATGTGATAGAGCACCAACACTGATCAAAAAGGCTAAGGGATAGAGTGTCTAGGCCCTGAGTTCAAGTCCCAGGACCAGCACCAAAAGGAAAAAGAAACTCAGAACCAAATTGACTTTTCTTCTGTGGTGCTATTCAGAACCATGCTGAGAATGATTGGAAATAACATTCTTCCTTCTTCATTCTTTTTTTTTTTTTCCTCTTCTTTCTTAACACTGACAGGCTCCACCCAAAAAACTGCCTGGGTGTGCGCCAGTTTGCGGAGACGATGATGTGTGCCGTGCTTTATGACGCGGCCAACAGCTTCATTCACCAGCACTTTGTGGCAGTGTCTATGTCAGAAGAGTTCCTGACCCTGCCCTTGGAAGATGTGCTTGAGCTGGTGTCTCGAGACGAGCTGAACGTGAAGTCAGAAGAACAGGTCAGGCCCAAGCGCCCGGTGGCTCACGCCTGTCATCCTATCTGCTCAGGAGGCTGAGATCTGAGGGTCGTAGTTCAAAGCCAGCCTGGGCAGAAAAGGATGTGCGCCTCTTATCTCCAATTATCTACCTAAAGACTGGAAGTGGAGCTGTGGCTGAAGGTGGGAGAGCGCTAGCCCTGAGCCTAAAAGCTCAGGAATAGCTCCCAGGCCCAGAGTTCAAGCCCTGGGATTGGAAGTCCGTGCAGAGAGATGTAAAGATGTGAGGAACCAGCCTGGCTAGAGAAAGAGCTGGTGGAGGGAAGAGCTTACTGGACATTGATGAAAGTGAACTATGCAACTCATGGGTGGAGATGGGAGGGAGGGAATAGGAGAGAATGACAGCACCCATGACACCGTGAGAAAGCAAATGTGCTTATTACCTGACTATGTAAATGGAACCCCAACATATATCACATCTAAAATAACAATAGGGCTGGGAAGGTGGCTCGGTGGTAGAGTGCTTGCCTCGCGTGCATGAGGCCCTGAGTTTGATGCCTCAGCACCACATAAGCAGAAAAAGCCGGAAGTGGTGCTGTGGCTCAAGTGATAGAGGGCTAGCCTTGAGCTCTTCAGTGCCCAGGCCCAGAGTTCAAGGCCCACGACGGACCAAAAAAAAAAAAGGAGCAATGAGCTAGGTGCTAGTGGCTCATGCCTATAATCCTAGCTACTCAGGAGGCTGAGATCTGAGGATCATGGTTCAAAGCCAGCCCGGGCAGGAGAGACTGTGAGACTCTTACCTCCAGTGAACCACCAGAAAACCGGAAATGGTGCTGTGGCTCAAGTGGTAGAGCACTCTCCTTGAGCTGAAGAGCTGAGGGAGAGCGCCCAGGCCCAGAGTTCAAGCCCCACAATAGACAAAAACAACAAAAAAAAGGGACAGAAGGGAAACAGGAATTCTACTGTGATGCAGAAAGTCAGAAGATGCCACATACAAGTGACTCAGGACTGTCAAGGAATGTTTTTTCTTTTTGCCAGTCCTGGGGCTTGAACTCAGAACCTGCACACTGTCCCTGAGCTTCTTTGGCTCAAGGCTAGCGCTCTACCCCTTGAGCCACAGCGCCACTTCCAGCCTTTTCAATGTATGTGGTACTGAGGAGTGGAACCCAGGGCTTCACACAGGCTAGGCAAGCACTCTACCACTAAGCCACCTTCCCAGCCCTGCATCCATTCTTTGTCGTGACAGGTCTTTGAAGCTGCTCTAGCCTGGATCAGATATGACCGGGAGCAGAGGAGTCCTTATCTGCCCGAGCTGCTAGCCAATATCCGCCTGCCTCTGTGCAGGCCTCAGTTCCTGTCAGACCGGGTGCAGCAGGATGATCTGGTGCGCTGCTGTCACAAATGCAGGTGAGCAAGGCTTGGAGATTCAGGACAGCGCCCAGGTCCAGACTCTGGACAGCGCCTAGCATGGGTGAAGCCCTAGGTTTGATTCCACAGCGCCACTTCTGGCTTTTTCTGTTGATGTGGCGCTGTGGGCTCAAGTGGTAGAGCGCTAAGTACAAAGAAGCTCAGGGACAGCACCCAGGCCCTGAGTTCAAGCCCCAGGACTGAACAAAAGAAAAAGAAAAAGTCCTTCTTGCGGGGCACCAGTGGCTCACGCCTGTAATCCTAACTACTAGGGAGGCTGGGATCTGAGAGTAGTAGGTTCGAAGCCAGCCTGGGCAGGAAATTCCATGAGACTTTTATCTCCAGTTCATCACCGAAAACGCCCAAGTGGAGCTCAGTAGTACAGCACTAGCATTGAGCACAAAAGCTCTGGGGCAGCACCCAGGACCTGAGTTCAAGCCCCAGCAAGCACTGGGAGGAAATGAAAAATCCATCTTCCATATTGCTTGTCATAGGATTTGTTCCCCCCTCTTTTTTGGGCACAGATTCAGCTCTCCTTTGTTTTCTCACCCTGGTTGGGGTGGCTGGTCCAGGAGGAAGTGAGGGTGGGGGTGTGGCTAAAGGTAGCTGTGGCTCAGACTAGAGGGAGGCTCAGAAGGAAGGGGCGGGGCTCAGGAGGGAGGGGCGGGGCTCAGGAGGGTGGGGCCAGGATACCCGCTGTCACAGCATCCTAGCTGTCATCCCAGGGACCTGGTAGATGAAGCAAAGGACTATCACCTCATGCCAGAGCGCCGGCCCCATCTGCCAGCCTTCAGAACTCGTCCTCGCTGCTGCACCTCCATCGCCGGGCTCATCTACGCTGTGGGAGGCCTCAACTCAGCAGGTATCTTGCGCCTCCCATTTGCAGAGCCCTGAGTGGGGTTCCCTGGGTGCACATGCCCAGTCGCCCAGCCTGGCCTTCTGGTTCCTCTGCTCTGGGCTGACACTTCTTGCCCCTCTAGACTGGACAGGATTGTCCCGTATTCATACTCTCTAAATCTGAATGTCAGTGTGAAAGAGACCTTAAAAGAAGCAGATTGGAGGCCGGGGTGCTGGTGGCTCACGCCTGTCATCCTGGCTGCTCAGGAGGCTGAGATCTGAGGATTGCAGTCTGAAGCCAGCCCAGGCAGGAAAGCCCATGAGCCTCTTATCTGCAATTAATCACTTAAAAAAAAAAAAAAAACAGGCAGTGGTATAGTTTAAAGTGGTAGTATGCCAGCCTTGAGCTTTGAGCTCAGGGGCAGCTGCCAGACCCCGAAGTCAAGCCCTATGGCAGACCCTCCCCCACAAAAGTCTAACAGGACCTGAGTACTGGTGGCTCGGGCCTGTAATCCTAGCTTCTCAGGAGGGTGGGATCTGAGGATCACAGTTCAAAGCCAGCCTGAGCAGATCTGTAAGACTCTTCATGACCAATTAGCCCCCAAAAGCTAGAAGTAGATCTGTGGCTCAGTTGGTAGAGTGCTATCACTGTGCACAAAAGCTCAAGCCGGGCGCTGGTGGCTCACACCTGTCATCCCAGCTACTCCGGAGGCTGAGATCTGAGGATCACAGTTCAGAGCCAGCCCAGGCAGGAAAGTCCATGAGACTCTTATCTCCAAAAAAACCATCAGAAAACCAGAAGTGGCGCTGTGGCTCTAGTGGTAGAGCACTTGCCTTGAGCTAAAGAGCTGAGGGACAGCCCCCAGGCCCAGAGTTCAAGACCCACGACTAAAAAAAGTAAATTTGAAGCCCCAGGACCCACGTGGAAAAAAAAAAGTCTCCAGACTTTTCTGCTAGGGCTGGCTTCCGATAGCAATCCTCAGATCCTAGCCTCCCGAGTAGCTAGTATACTCCATGCCCAACAGCTATGATCTAAACAAGCGGTCTCCTTTGTTTTAATTTGAGTAGCAAATTTTTATGCAGGTGATTCCCTGAATGTGGTGGAAGTGTTCGACCCCATCGCCAACCGCTGGGACAAGTGCCATCCCATGACGACAGCCCGCAGCCGCGTGGGCGTGGCCGTGGTGAATGGCCTACTGTATGCCATTGGAGGCTACGACGGCCAGCTGAGGCTGAGCACCGTGGAGGCCTACAACCCAGAGACAGACACGTGGACGCGAGTGGGGAGCATGAACAGCAAGAGAAGGTACTCCAGAAGCCGCATAACACACTGAGCACCAAGTAAAACCCACGCTTGACCCGAGTGCCATGCCTGTCATCCTAGCTACTCAGGAGGCTGAGATCTGAGGATCGAGGTTCAAAGCCAGCCTGGGCAGGAAAGTCCGTGAGACTCTTATCTCCAATGAACCACCAGAAAACCAGAAGTGGCGCTGTGGCTCAAGTGGTAGAGTCCTAGCCTTGAGCTGAAGAGCTTAGGGACAGTGCCCAGGCCCAGAGTTCAAGCCCTAAGACCAACAAAAAAACCCCACAAAACGCAAACTTTGGCCTGGGGATGCCCAGCCAGCTGCTGGCACCCCCTGGGAGTGAGCCCTCTCATCCCCGTTTAAACCTTAATTACCTGCCTTGACTTCTGAGGAACTTGGGGAGACAAAAGACAGACTTGTGGAAATTGTATTGGTGTTTATATATATAAATATATATAAGTATATATATACATATATACATAGTTATATATATGTATGTATATATACATATGTGTATATGATATATATAATGAGAAGGGAAAGAAACGACTGGAAGGATTTTAGGAATGAGATGGGATCTAAGTTGAGGCTTAAAAGGAGGATTTACTAGCGATGAAAAATCCAAGGTGTTTTCCCCCCTCCCCCCCCATTTCTCCCCTCCTCCTCCCCTCCCCACAACTCTTTTCTGCTAATCCCAGGGTTTGAACTCAGGGCCTGGGCACTGTCCCTGAGCTTCTCTGGCTCAAGGCCAGCACTCTACCACTTGGGCCACAGCGTCATCTCCAGCTCTTTTGGTAGTTTATTGGAGATCCAAGCCTCACAGACTTTTCCTTCCTGGGCTGGCTTTGAACCAGGATCCTCAAATGTCAGCCTCCTGAGTAGCTAGGATTACAGGCATCAGCAACGGATACTGGGCTCATCTTCATAATCTCTGCGGTCTAAGTATTTTTCCTCACAGACCCCAATGTTCTTTGCCATGCCTCTAGGTCTGCTTATAGGATCACATGACTGGGAAGAAAAAAATAAACAGATCAAATGACAGGAAGCGTTTGGAGGAAGTTAGAAGGAAGAAAGTTAGCGAGGAAGTCCTTAACCACATAGAAGCGATTCACGCAGTCTATATTTGGCTGTATTAGCACGTGGCCAGGAACCGGGAGGAATCTGCCTCTGTAGCGATTAAAACAGATTTACAGAGGATTGGAATGGGATCATGGCAGAAATTTAAAAAAGTATGTAAGATCTTGTCCCAAGAACAAGCTCCCAGACTTTTCCTCACGGATCTTTTCTGCCATGGAATGACTCGATCCAATAAGCAGCTTTTATTTTTGGCTTTGACATTGAGCAGTTTGGCCTTCCTTTTGTGTCTTCTGGGCCACGTTCTTGCTTTGATGTCTGTGGGTCTGGAACATCGATCGTCTGGGAAGAGAGTCCCACGGGTCGCCCCCTCTCTCTGGTTCTGGTTAACGCCCCACTATTAACAGTAACTTGTCCAGTTCCATTTCCCCTCTTGAATTACAGCTCAAAGGTTCTTGAGACTCTTTTGACTTTTCACGGAGCTCTCCATCCTGCCAGTTAACCGCAGCCTACTCTCTGCCATCTTTTCCCTCCCAGCTCTTCCCCTCTTCCAGACCACCATTCTGGAACTTTCTGCAACCAGACTCTTCTGGTCCACACAGCTCGACGTTTTCTTCTACCACTTTTGAGACACAAAGCTGTTTTTTAGTAGTTAGTTGGATATGAGTCTCATCCTCTTTCCTGCCTATGCAGGCTTTGAACCCACGATCTTCTGATCTTTGGAGTAGCTAGGATAACGGATTTTAGCCACTGTGACCCAGCCGAGCTTGTGTCTTAATGTCTCTAGGCAGGGGCTAAGAAGGTGGCTTAGTGGTAGAGTAGCATGCATGAAGCCCTGGGTTCAATTCCTCAGTACCACATACACAGAAAAATCCCAAAGTGGCGCTGTGGTTCAAGTCATAAGAGTGCTAGCCTTAGCAAAAAGCAGCTCAGGGACAGTGCCCAGGCCCTGAGTTCAAGCCCCAGGACTGGCAATAATAACAACAACAACAATAATAACAACAATGTAAAGTCCAGGCATACCTACCCAAAGCAGCATGGAGAAGAGAACCCAGCTACCCTCCACCCAGCCAGCCAGCCACATGTACACCAAAAATGGTTCTCCTCCCTCTCTTGCAGGGTATGGTGAGGGTTGAAAATATCTGAAGATTCAATGTGTGCAGTGAGTGCACAACTAACAAGCATCACCCACCAAGATATAACAAAAGATGTAACAAAAACGTATCTGTTAGCTGGCTACTGGTGGCTCACACCTGTAATCCTAACTACTCAGCAGGCTGGGGTCTGAGGATCACAATTGAAAGCCACCTTGGACAGAAAACTCTGAAAGACTCTTATTTCTAATTAACCAGAAAATCTCCTGTAGTAGAAATATAGCTCCAATAATAGAGGACCAACCTTGAAGGAAAAAGCTAATCTTAGAGTGTGGGGCCCTAAGTTTGGGCCCCAAATGAACAAAAAACACCATCAGAGTGAATTGAATGAGTAAAGTGAATAGTAATTAAACAACTTAGCACTGAGGGCCTGTTAAGTACATTTGCATGATCACAAATGGTAACCTTTCCCATTTCCAAAAGGTTCATGAATATGAAGAGGTGGCAGCTAGATTTCCGGAATCATAAGGAGACAGGACATAAGTGTCTTGTGGGCAGGAAACAGAGCTCACTCATTGCTTTTTTTTCTTTTTTTTTGGCCAGTACTGAGACTTGAACTCAGGGCCTGAGCTCTGTCCTTAAGCGTTTTAAGACTACCACTCTACCACTTGAGCCATGGTGCCACTTCCAGAGTTCTCCTTGTTTTCCTGAGTAGTTTACTGGAGATAAGAGTCTTGTGGATTTTCCTGCCCTGGCTGGCTTCAAACCATGAGCCTCACATCTCAGCCTTATGGTAGTTAGGATGACAGGCATGAGCCACCAGCGCCCTGCCCACTCACCTCTCTTAACCTACTGCCGAGGATAGTGTGGCAGCAGGTTGCTGATGACAATCCCGTGAATGGATGGTTGTGACCTATGCTGTAATAGAAGCTACTTTGGGGGCAGGAAGGGCGGGAATGATTAGTACCTTCACTCAGTCTCCTACCTGGGAGATTTAGGTCTATCCTAGAAAGAAGCCATCAGCCGACCATCACTGATTTCTTAGCCTGACAGGCTGCCCCAAGAAGTGTGAGACTCACCCGAGATGACAATCCTATCTGTTTCAGTGCCATGGGGACAGTCGTGCTGGACGGGCAGATCTACGTCTGTGGGGGCTACGATGGCAACTCTTCCCTGAACTCTGTGGAGACCTACTCACCTGAGACGGACAAGTAAGGACTCCCGCTCATAGGGAGCTTATTTGACAGGATAAAAATAGGAGAGCTGCCAGACACTGGTGGCTCACACCCATAATCCTAGCTACTCAGGAGGCTGAGATCTGAGGATCACAGTTCAAAGCCAGCCTGGGCAAGAAAGTCCTTGAAACTCTTTATCTTCAATAAACCACCAGAAAACTGGGAGTGGCACTGTAGTTTAAGTGGTAGGGCACTAGCCTTGAGCTGAAGAGCTGAGGCCCAGAGTTCAAGCCCCATGCCAGTAGTCTTAGGCCAAGATAGATCTGAAGATTGCAGTTTAAAGCCAGCTCAGGAAGGGAAATCCATGAGGCTCTTAGCACTAATAATCCACCAAAAAGATAAATGTGGAAGTGTGACTCAAGTGGTAGCTTACCAGCCTTGAGCACAACATGCTAAGGGACAGGCTCAGGCCCTGAGTTCCAGCTCCAATACCAGCACAAAAAGAAAGGGAAGGGGAAGGAAGGAAAGTAAAGGGGGGAGAGGGTATAAGGCAATTGCCAGGACATAAGAGACACAGCACAGTTCACCTAAAACTAACAAGTTAGCTGTCTTGGGAAGATGGGAACCCCTGAATCTTACACTCCCTTCCTCTTTTGATTCTTTTTCTGAAGATGGACAGTGGTGACTCCGATGAGCTCAAACCGCAGCGCTGCCGGGGTTACGATCTTTGAGGGCAGGATATATGTGTCCGGAGGCCATGACGGTTTACAGATCTTCAACACTGTAAGTCTGGGCTCTTCCTATCTTTGAATTATTTGGGAAGAAAAAAAGAAAATCTTCAGTTCTTCCTTTGCAGGATAAAAATCACCTAGTGAAGTTCCAGGCTGTCTCTTGCATCCTCTAAAATTCCTAATGTCTGAAGAAGAGCCAGGGGTCACTATGAAAAGAGCCACACTTCCCACTCCCCATCCAAGTGCCCATGGATTACTGTTAAAAAAAAAAAAAAAAAAGCTTCTGAAGCCAGGTGCTGGTGGCTCACTCCCATAATCCTAAACTACTCAGGAGGATGAGATCTGAGGATCATCCAAAAACATCCTGGGCAGACAAGATTCATGAGAGACTTACCTCCAAAAGGCCAGACATAGAGCTGCGGTAGAGCCAAAGTGAGCCAGGCGCCCCGGGGATGGGGGCGAAGGGGGTGTGGAAGGGGGGGGGCGGTTCACGCCCTTCATCCCAGCTACTAGGGAGGCAGAGGATCGGGGGTTGACATCGGCCTGGGCAGGAGAGGCCCCGAGACTCCCTCATCCCCAATCAACTAACTACCAGACAAGCCACAAGGCCAGAACCCCAGGCTGGTGCTGTACCGCTTGAGACGTGGCGCCGTTTCTGGTGTCTGGTTTTGAGCGGTTCCTTGGAGATCAGAGTCCCGTGGGGCTAGAGCCCTAGCGGGGACAGCGCCCGGGCCCTGAGTTCGAGCCCCACAAATGACGGGAAGAAGCGGGCCCATGCCAGTCAGCCTGGGGAGCAGAAGGGTGTCTCCGAGAACTGTCCACGGAGATCGGCCAGAGTGACCGCCCACCACCCCTGCACATCTCAGCACGGGGGCCGGGCTGACAGGATGTGCACCTTGCACATGCGCGTGTGCCCAAGGAGCCGGCACGTGGGCTCTGGGCATGCGCGTGCAGCCAAGGGGCCGGCCCGTGGGCTCTGGGCATGCGCGTGCAGCCAGAGGGGCCAGCACGTGGGCTCTGGGCATGCGCGTGCAGCCAGGGGGGGCCAGCACGTGGGCTCTGGGCATGCGCGTGCAGCCAGGGGGGGGGCCGGCA